TGTAGGCTCGTGTACTGGTGTGGGAATTTGTGTGTTTTTTTTTTTTTTTTTTTTTTTTTTTTTCGGTATAGAAATGTGTGTGGGTGTGTGTGTGTGTGTGTGTGTGTGCATTCTCAGGAGCATGCTGTGTCTGTCAGACAGGGTTTTGCTGACCAGGCGGTTGTACAAGGGCAGAGTGAGGACCACACACACACACACACACTTACACAAGCTGCTACCCATCAGTACACATACATATACACATATAGAGTTTTAGAGCAGCATATGGACTTGTCATGAACATAATGTCTGCAATCCGCTGCTATTTGTAAACAGGCATTTTACACTTGTTGACCATAAGGATTCGACATGTCGTTTTCGGGTTTTTTTTACTGTCCCCCTTCTTCTTATTTGTGACATACAAGAAAGTACAAAACACCATGGGATGCATTTTCTTCCTACAGGTGACATTGCTGGTTCTTGCGGCGATCCGGGCATTCCCTCCCACGGCTCAAGGGAACAGACGGATTTCAAGATCCGTTCCAAGGTCTACTTCACCTGCTCAGAGGGCTACGAGCTCATTGGGTCTGCAGAGAGAATGTGCTTCCCCAACGGGACGTGGTCCGGCACTCAGCCCTTTTGTAAACGTAGGATGAATGTGGATAATTCCTCCCCATCGACCTTACTTCAGCCATTTTTAGCACATATGTTTTTCCCCAATAATCACGGGATTCTATGTCGCGTTTCGTGCAGCCATTCAGTGTGGAAATCCCGGCACTCCCAGTAACGGCAGAGTCTTTCGCCTTGATGGGACGACGTTCTCCCACTCTGTCATCTACTCCTGCATGGATGGTTACCTGCTCACTGGTGCCACCACCAGGCTGTGCCAGGCCAACGGGACATGGTCGGGGGCACAGCCAAACTGCACTAGTGAGTAATCTGCTTTGCTTTCCCCATATTACAAAATGTTTTTGTACTTTTTTAAATTCTTTTGTATCTTGGCACATAACTACAAACTTTATTATTAACTAAGATTTTTTTTTTTTTTTTTTTTTGAAAGACCAACACGTTTTGAACATTGGAGAAAAATGCTTCTGAATGAATACTTTGTAGAAGCACATTTTGCCCCAATTACAGCTGCAAGTCTTTTGGGATATGTCTCTTCCAGTTTTGCAAATTGACATACTGAACTTTCGTTTCATTTATTAACCCTCCCACAGTCCCGGAGGTGGTGAAGTGGACACCTTGTATGCTTTACGTTTTGTTTGTTTATCTAGGGTTTTTTTTAAATGGTTTTGGGAACTGACGGGATACCCCCCGTCACTTCTCCTTTGTTCAACCTTGACATCTGCCTCGCTTTTTCTGAGCGCCAAGTTAGGACTGCGGGGTGGTTAAGGGAAGAAAGATATCCAAAACCAACCTGGCCCCATGTAAAAAGTAATTACCCTCTTTGTTGAATCATGAATTAGCTATGATCAAAGTACATTTTTAAAAAGCTGAACTCAATTTCACAAGCCAATCCCATGCCTGATTATTACCCGACCTGCAGATATGATAAATAATTTAAACGGAGCCTCTCTGCTGGTTAAAAGTCATTTGCCTCTGTCAGTCTGCGGAGGTTACAACACAATTCCTAGGAGTTTTGGAAGCCTCAAACTAAAGTGAGGGCCAAAATCCACAACTGGAACAAACATGCAGCAGGGATGAACCTTCTCAAAACCCTTATGGTTAGGGTCAGCGACTCAACAATGAGAAAGAGAGACTGGGCAAAACATCATCCAAAGACTTCCATGGTCAAAACCACAGCTGACCATAAATGACACAAAAAACTCTCCTTACATTTCCTAAAATAAAACTTCTTGATGAGCCCCGAAACTATTGAGAAAATATTCTGTGAACTGTTGAGAAAAAGAGAAGCATTTCGGAAGGTGTGCATCCCATTACGTCTGAACTAAAACTAGTAGTACAGAAATAGACCATCACACCAAAGTCAAAGTTGGTAGAGATGGTGAGAGGGGATGGATCTGCTTTATCAACATTTCACATAGAGATATAAGAATAAACGTAAAGTAAAATGCATGACCAACATTCCCGATTCTTATTTTTCAAAAAATAAATAAATAAAACCAAGCATCATTTTCCTTCTATTTCACAGTTATGCATCCTTTCTTGTCTGTCACATAAAATTCCAAAGTTACATATCCAAGTCTGTGGTTGGAACAAAGCAAAATGGAAAAAAAAAGACAATGAGTGTTTGCAAAGTACTGCATAGTTATTTGCAGATGAGTAAACGTCTGTACAATATGTTTCTATTTTTCTTTTTTTTCAGTTCCAAGTAACTGACAGCAAAACAATTTGCATTTTTCTACAGTTCAGCTGTGAACATTCAGACAAGACGACCAGGAAGTTAGAAATTTCATTTAGAAATTCAGCTTTAGAGGACGGCAAGAAAGTTGAGAACAAACAGCGAGGAGAAAGATAAAGAGAGAAGTGGTTTTATTCGGTATTACCTGGAATAAATCTATGCGTGGACTCTTGAGTCGAACGCAGCAGCGGCTGTGATCGATACGTTAACGATGTAACTGAAAAAAAGATTTTAATCAAAATACCAAAATGTCAAGTGCTACTTTCAGTTACAGCTATACGAGCTGGCATCTCCCCCCTCAACGTTCCAAGCATTAATCAGAGCCTCTTCACAAACACGAAAGTCATCCAAAGCGCCTAGACAGAAGTTTTGAGAGCTAAAAGGAAAGGGCTCTTTCAGATCAGATTCTTTAGATGGCCAGCAAAAGAATCTGATCTGCACCTCTCCTGCTGGCCGTCTTGGCATAGCCTCAGCTGCATGTAAAACAGTTAGCGGCTGAATGTGCAGTCTAAACTATAATTTATGCAGTACAGTTAGCTGCAATTAAGCCGCTAACATTTCCAAACTGCTTACGCGGATCACTGTACGAGTTGTTCTCCACAGCCCTTTGTGACACTGCTTCATGCCCAGTTTGAAATGACTCTGCAACACTATAAGGTCTGAATAATGAAATAAAGCTCAAATATTTATGCTCCTGCTTCTCATTTTATCGCGCGGCATGAATAACCTTGATCGTTGTTTACTTTGGCTAATTTGCTTTTTGAACCCGGAGGGAAACCTCCGACAGAGTAAATAACCATAAAATATAAAAAGTCTCTTCCTGTGTGAAATATGACCGAAGCCATGCTTGAGCGAGTGTTAGTCAGAGCGCCGCGTTTCCGGTGCGCTCGCTCGCGTGGCATTCAAAGATCTATGCAATAAACGGGCCCCGATGCACATCGCAGAGGAGCTTGCAGATATTAATTGTGTCTGGAAAAAGGACTTTCTTTCCGAGGGACATCTGGCATGATCTTTATGGTTCCCCATTTCTACTGACATTTCTGACTTTTAATGCATTTATGTAAAGAAATAAGCCATGAAATATCCAGCCGGGCGGGATAAAAGGACAAAGACACAGAAGTGCTGAGAAGCCTAAATCTAGAATCAGGGCTTCCTGGAAGTAAAGACAGTTTATAAGAATGTCTTTCTTAAAGGGAAAATGGCTGGCTTTTACAGTAGATTACACCGCATCTATTAAGAGGCATGACAGACTGTGGGGCGGGTTTAAAAGCAGTAAAACTGCCTATTAGACTATGAAGGACAGTGGCCCAAAAGTACTGTCTGGGGAATTCTAATACTCCTTAAAACCATCCCAGGACAACCACAGCCATCATTTCCCAGATCCCTTTATGAGCTGCACATTTAGATAATATGCAGCCCGTAAAGGGATACGAAATGTATTATTAAAATGTATTTAGTGGAAAAAACTAATAGTTACAAAATGAATCACATTATAAAGTATCCTTTTTATCAAAAAAAAATAAATAAATAGTATTATTAATGCCATAACACAACTTGTCCCAGGAGAAATATTCAGCTTGTTTACACCTTCTATGTTTTTTATGTTTTATATTTTGTTATTGTTGCCTATTTGTGTTGCCTACTATGGTGTGTGCTGCTGCCTTTCTTGGCCCGGTTACCGTTGTGAAAGAGGTCTTAATGTCAGTGTTTTTTTTTGTTTTTATCTGGTTAAATTGAAAAAGGAAAAAAAGCGCAGATTTAGTTTAGCAGGCATAACTCAAAAACGCTTTTTTCATTTGCTTAAAAGCAGCAGGTTCCGTTACGATTTATGTTTCTTTCGTGCTTTTGAAGATTTTGAGGATTTTTGGTCGTTGGGCATGAAAGTATCTCTTTCTGTGACTCGCTCAGAGGTAAACCAGCTTGTTTTACGTCAGCGCCATGTTTGCCCTCTCCCACAGTGATAAACTGCGGGGATCCTGGCATCCCGGCCAACGGCCTTCGCTACGGTGAGGATTTCACTATCGGACAGAACGTTTCCTTTCAGTGCCAGCCGGGCTACAGGATGGAGGAGGACGGGTCGCCTATGAGGATGTGCACCCAGAACGGGACGTGGGGTGGAAACATGCCCATATGTACAGGTAAGTATTTTGAGTCAAGAATCTTAAAAGAAAACGTCTCAAAAGGCTTTTTAGCAATAATGTGGCTTCAGTGAAATGTTTCAAATGCTTATTTCCCAGCGGTGACCTGCCCGACTCCCGCCGCCATCAGCAACGGCGTACTGCAGGGCAGTGACTTCGAGTGGGGCAGCAGCGTGAGCTACAGTTGCTCACCGGGGTACGAACTCTCGTTCCCGGCCATCCTGACCTGCGTATCCAACGGCACCTGGAGCGGCATGCTTCCGCAGTGCCTACGTAAGAATTACATCATGTTCACGCGCTTCGCTGGCACATTTCAAGCACCGGCCTTTTGAATTCCTGACACCAGAACTGTGAAATGTGTTACGTACGTCTTTGCGCTTGCAGCCAAGTTCTGTGGCGACCCAGGCACGCCAGTCGGTGGCTTCAGAGAGGGTCGGAGTTTCATTTATCAATCCGAAGTGTCCTTCAGCTGCTCTCCACCTCTGATACTGGTCGGCACGGCAACCAGACTTTGCGAGAACGACGGCACCTGGAGTGGAACTCAACCACGCTGCATCGGTAATTTGCACGACTGGTTCACCATGCAACCGTAAAATCACGGAGAGCGGAAGACTTGTTCAAAGCTTAAGTCAAAAAAGTTATTTTTGTGCGAGGACTTGATTTTGGAGGAAAAATTAAGAAAATATGTACATTTTCCTGACATTTTACTCACCTGTACAAATACTTTTGTTTATCTCTTTGACCATTTCATGTGAACTCCATCAATCTATATTGAAATAATTCGTATCTAAATGTTTTTGAGTCGGGTCATTCCGAAACGACGCACAACTTTTACAGCAGTCGATGTACACGTAATTTATAAGCCAAGCAAAGCTTACTTTTAGAATGGTCATAGTATATCTAAACAGTTTTGTATTGCATTAATGTTGACTTGAGAGACACCAGCAGCATGCGCAAACCTGTACAGTCTTAGCTTGAGGCTCAGGCCGGACTGACGCTGGTAGTTATCCGGAGTTTGTGACGAGTGAGGATTCGTGACGGTATCCGCTGAATTCCTCCTACTATTTTTCAACCGCAGTGCATTTCACTTTTCACTCAGCTGCCAGTAGGTGAAAGACGTAGCAGGAATATAAAGAGAGACGCGGCGATCATTATGATGGAGCAGAAAGCCTCATCTGGCACTCGCAGGCTGTTCTAATTAAGAGAAGATGATTCATCCAGAACCTCCTGCAGTGTAATATATGATGCATTAATGTGTAAAAACAAGAAACACCGGTCCACGTCAACACAAGCTGACGTGGACTGGTCAACTTATTATTTTTAATATTTATTAAAAACAATGTTAATATTTTTAACAAGCAGCAAAGTGCTTGCGAAAGATTGAATTCATTGTGGAATTTTTGCAAAACGTCAAAATTTTGATATGAGCTACTCCACATCTAATATTTAGACACATGTCGCTTAGCAATATGCAAGGAAATATTTTGTTTTGTTAAGCCATCAACAAGCTTGCAGCATAATTCTGAGAGGATAAACACAAAGCTAGAGTGGCAACAGGTGAGTGTGATTACGACACCAACAGCATGATGTCACCACCTGGATACTAGTTGGTAGTCTTAATTGGTTCAACCATCTATCCCAAATGGTCACTCTCATCTGAAAGGAAATTAGTCATGATATGCAGGAACAAAGCAGGAAGCGCACAGACCAAGTCCCATTATAAACTCGAAGATGCTGGAAAACCAGTAAGTTTGACATCGACACAGGCTCGGTGGGGGGCGACCAAGGCAGAAGCCCCTTGCTAAAAACAAAAAAAAAATCAACACCTTCAAGTGCGAATCAAATTTGCAGCTGCCCACTTGGACAAGCCGAGTGCCTTTTTGGGGAAAATGTTTCATGATCAGACGAGACGAAGATCGAACCGTTGGGCCACTTTGCCAGGAAGAACACGTCTAGTAGGGAAGATGAGACCCAAGAACGCTACTCTATCTAGCGAGCGCGATGGCAGCAGCCTGCTGCGCTCTGGTTCACTGCCAGAGGTATTGGTACACTGCGGAGGGGAAGAAACCTCAGATCAGCAGCCAGGCGGTTGAAAATTGGACGTGACCGAATGTTACAACAGGATAACGAACCCAACTTTTGCACCCACCTGGGGTTGATGAGAAATTCACAGTGTAATTCAGCGCATCCTGAAAAAACAACAGTTTCAATAAATTACACTAATGTCCATGTTGAGTGCATGTAAAACTCTGAACAGAACAGACGGCATTTCTATTAATTCTTCTAAGTAAATCTCCAACTCTTTGTGTTAAAAAACATTGTGTTAGTACAATGTTTTTTTTTTTTTTAATGTTTCTGTCTATTGATTTATGATTCAAGTTATTGCTCTTCAAGACTTTGTGAGTCATTCGTCATCATTCATTCATCTCCGTACGAGCTGGAGCCCAACAGAGCTTCCTCAGGCGGGAGGGGGGGTATCCTCCCCACTTCAAAGTCTGGGATCAAATTAAAAGGCACCACACTTCAGAGACAGATTTCCAGAGAGGTTGTTCTTGTAGAGTAAATATCTTGCTTTAAATAACGTATCACGGCGCAGTAATGCAGACGGGTGTTTAATGCCGCCCCTCTGCTGTACGTACGCTCGCCTGTTGTTTATGCCACGGCGGCGCACTCGCACAAAATTATTTTCAGACTTCTGTGGCTGAACGGTCTCGCTTTGTTGTTCTTTTTTTTTTTTTTCTCTGCTAATTCTCAGTCTGTTCACTCCCCTGTCGGTGTGGAACCTATCAGACACACGTCGTTTGTGCCACCAGTTAATTAGCGCCGGTGCCTAATTATCACCATTACGCGCCCGTTATTACACAGGCAACGGCCACGATTCAGTCTACGCGCGGGTCTGTTTTCGCTGAGCAATTTCTGCTCGGTGAAAGTAAAAAAAGTTTTATTGAAATCATGGCGAGTAGCGAGTGGAAGCTCATCTCAGAGATTCCTGCTAATGAAAAGGCAACCTTTGGCAGGAGCCTTGACGGATTCCAAACAAGAGAGATCAAGCAAACGGTAATTTTTTTATTTTTTGAGATTGGCAACTTTTCTTGATAAAACTGCTTTTTTTTTTTTTTTTTTTCATTTACCGGGATCAATATTTTTGCTAGGCATTAAAACTTTTTAAAGCCTTGTGAATGTGTAATCACAGCTCGTCAATTGGCTGGCCCCCTTTTTTCCAGCTGCACCGCGACTCACTGAAAGCACTCCAGCGGACTGTTTCACAAAGGTCATTTGCGACTGCGCAGATTGAATATTATGGCAGCACGCTATTTCACAAGTCATTGTCACTAACAAATTGCACATCTGTATGCTCTTGACTGAGCCGATTGGCACTTGATCTTCTGAATGAAAAGTATCAAAACCGGTTTGTGGGGGGAGTTAGGGGGGGGGGGGGGAACCAGCCTATATGTTGATTTCGATGACAACACATGAAAATAGGCTGTTCATCTACAGTCTGCTCCTTTTTTCTGCATTGAGTGTGTACATATGTGCATTTTTTTTATAAAATTTATTTTCAATCTAGTACTTGTACTCACGCATGTGACAGTGCAAGGGAAATAAATAAATAAATAAAAATAAATGTACAGGGTTCCAGTGCAGTCTGGGAAAATAATGGGAATTTGACTAAAAATATTTCTAAATCTCAGTGTTTTTGGAAAAAGAAAATGTACATGCTTTACTTTTTCTTATAACCGTGTTTCTATGGAATCTGGATGGTGGGCAACCAGAATGGGAAAAGGAATAAAGGAGCTATGAGTGTTTTTTCAGCACATACTACCTGAGAACTCGAGGCTTTGCAGCTGAGAATAGTTTAAGGGACGTTTTTTTATTTATTTTTTTTTTTTAGTTCAATTCAACAGGGATCTAGGAGTTCCCTTTTAAAGAAACCACACCAAAAGTGTTTGCTTACAAGTGAGGCAACGGCGGTACAGGCTGTGACTTTGAGCGTTGAGTAAATCACCACCACACATCCAGCTTCAATCCAGCTGCCGCTGACCATGGATTAGAAGTGAAAGACAACAGCAGACACCGAGCATGTTTCCGATGGGTTTTATTTTCACGACGGACCGCCTCACAGACGCGCATTCGATCCAGGGCGAGCGAGTATGAAGACGAGTTGTGACCGGTTCAAGGTTTCTGTTGCCGGAACAGACTTCCAGCTTCCCTTCGTAGCCCACTGATAAGATGTGCTGCGCATCTAACACTTTTACAGCCGCAGTAAAGTCTAATGTTGCCTGTAAAATTGATGATCTAAAAATAGGAGGCCTGCCTGTGAAGTGCAGATGTAAGGACTCAATCTTTGACTTCTGGGAAAAGACGAAACCTTTCGGCTTACGTAATTAGTTTACAAGTTTGACGCTGTTGCTCATTCGTGAGCGAGCACACACAAAATACAGCGTGATTCCCTCTGCTGCTGCTGCTGCTGCTTTTTTTTTTTTTTCCCTGCTGGAAATGTGTTCAAAAAGGAGTGCTGAGTGTTAGGCGCATGTCTGCAGTGGTGATTTATTAGTGTGTGATTGCAGCTGTATGTTAGAGTGTGATGTGTATTACGATGTGACTGAACCAGAATGAGTTTTGAGGCAAAGCAGCCTGCTCTTTAAATAAGACAGACGAGGCAATGGGGGTGGGTGGGGGGAGCAGAGACGGAGATAGTGGCGTAGAAACAGAGAGGAAAAGAGCGGTTACAAAGAAGAGAGAGAAGGAGGGCAAAAAAAAAAAAAACAGAGTGAGGAAGGAGAGCGGATAGAGAAGTACAGGAAGACGAAGGCTGAGAGTGAATCTGTCATTTTGGAAGCTGTATTGAATCGAGCTCTGCGTCAGGATGTGCTCTACATGCTGATGACCCTGCCACACACACACACACACACACACACACACACACCCACACCCAGCCGCGCGCGCGCGTGCTCTGTCAGAGGCAGAAACTCTAAAGGCCTCCCTTCGTTTTCTCGCGATGCACTACTGCCCCCTGCTGGCTCGACGGCGCTCACAGCTCCCTGTTACCATGACAACAGGGGAGAGAAGTGGAGAGTTTTAAGGAGAGGATTTAAAAATGTTGCAGTTAATTTATCTTTCTCCTGGATTTGTTCTTTTCTCTGTGTGTGTGTGTGTGTGTCGGCTCACGCTGTACACTCTGCTTTGCAGAACCAACCAAAACCAGCTGCGATAACCCGGGAACGCCTCGCTACGGCTCCCTGAACCGGACCTTTGGTTTTAAGGTAAAATATCTGCCCTGACAAGCCGACTCCAAACTCGCCTCCATGCCCAACTGGTTGATTTAATCTGTGTATTAAATTGGTTTTATTTTCTGATTTGCAGTAAGAAGTCAAATGTATTTTTTGTATGTTTTATTAGTGGCAACAAATTGCACATGAATTTGTCGTGGAATGTTATGTGATGGTGTAGCAGATCGGCACAAACTTAGTGCATAATTATGAAGTGTAAAAAATAGTTAAACTGCTTTTGCAATTTTAGCTTCAAGTTTTTTGGCGTAGGTCTAACAGCTTTGAGACTGCCGTTTTTTTGCCTTTTTTTTTTTTTTGCAAAATAAATCCAAACACAGAATGGAAGGAGAACATCTTTAAACATCAGTTTTCACCAATTCAGTAGGTTTGCGGTTTTTATTCCACTTGGACTTTGACTGTTCTTTGATTTTAAACTCTGGCATCATAGCTTTGACTGTATATTTAGGATTCCTGTCCTCTTGCAAAGAGAAGCTACATTAAGTAGCTTAATTAAGCTAATTAATTAATTAAGCTACATTAAGCTACATTAAGTCTCAGGTCTTCCCTCCAGAAATGATCTACACTTAAAAAAACAACAACAAAAAACCCAGCTATAACCAGTTTTCCTGTCCCTACTGAAGAAAAACATCCTTAAATCACGATGCTGCCACCGCTATGTTTCCCAGTGGGGATGGTGTGTTCAGAATAGAAATGCCCACAATGGGGAAACTGAAGACGGAGAACTGCTGGAACGTTCTGCCTTCTCACTCGGCGCCGGAAGCTTCAGACGGATGACGAATCGTGCTAGTTTTTCTTTACCTCCTTTCGCATGTTGGCTTCATACAATACATCACTTAGGTAAAACAGGACCTCTTTAGATTTTGTCGAACAGAATTCGTTTTCCCCGGTCTGTTGTGTTCCTTGGCCTTCATGATGCTGTTTGTTCACTTACAAACCTCTGAGGTCTTCACAGAACAGCTGCGTTTACCCTGAGATTTCATGGCACACAGATCAAATATAAATCAGATCACTCTTTTCACATTTGTATTTGTTACACGTTTTAAAGCCACTTATTATTTTCATCCAACTTTACTTTTTTGTGTTTTTTGTTTTTGTTGAGCACTAACTTTGTGTTGTGCCATAAAAAAAATCCCAACAAAGTTTGAGGTTGTAACGTGAAACATGTGAAAAAGGGAAAGAGGACTTTTACAAGGCACTTTAAGAAGTACTTACCAGCCTAACTCAGTCTGTCCCTCCTTAAATAAACTCAAGACATTCCTCATAGTGTCAGGTACCCTCCGGAGAGGAGGGTACCTTCGCACCGCAGCCAAACAAAACACCGCTCGTATTTCGTTGTTTTTATGTCTTTTTTTGTGCTCAGGTGGGGAGCGTGGTGTCATTTCAGTGCCAGTCGGGTCATTTGCTTCAGGGATCGTCATCCAGAACCTGCCAACCCGATCTGACGTGGACTGGGACACAACCCGAGTGCATACGTAAAGAAACACATATGTTGGCTCTTTGTCTGTCCACTCTAAGCCTTTACTGACCCTCACCGAAGATGGAAAGAAAAAGAAAAAAAAAAGAAAAAAAATCATGTTTTGTACCTTGCAGCCCACGCCTGTAAGCAGCCGGAGAGCCCGCTCCATGTGGACGTGGTGGGGATGGATCTTCCCGGATTTGGCTACACCTTGGTGTACAGCTGTCAGCGCGGGTACTTCCTGGCGGGCGGCTCCGAGCACCGGGTCTGCAAGAGTGATAGCACTTGGACGGGAAAGATGCCAATATGTAGAGGTGCATGATTCACTTCTCTGCCTCTCAGTGGCCCCATCAGCATTAAATGCATTTACTTTATTGTCCTATGCTGAGCTGATTCTCTTGAGTGAAGAGAGAGGAGCACTTGAACGTGTCTAGCTCAAAGCTAGATATATATTTACTGGTGGGGTGGACAGATGGTGTACAGGATAGAGGGTAAAGGATTTAATATAAAGTGATATAAGAAAATAAAAAAACATCTGTGTTGTTTTGTCCCTTTGCAAGGTTGGCAGGTTGTACGTTTTTACACACGGTAAACAAATAAATAGGAACAAGGACTCTGGAAATCTGAGTCTGGAAAAGTATTGAATTTGGCCATGAAAATGTCTAAGAAACATCACATTTCATTGGAAGCCTCCCGCATAGCAAAGTTGAAGGTAATGCTTAACTTTTAGTTTTGAGGCTTTTAAAATGTCAAAATTGCAGATACTTTGTGGATGAATAACTCATCAAAACAAACATGCTGTGCTTAATTTTTTAATTAACTGAAACCTCTTTTTTATTTAACTTTACAAAAGGAAGATGCATTTGAAAAGGCCAGTTCCTTTTCAAATGCATCTACAACCAGTCAAGAAATGAGCATAAAGCAAAAATGTCTACAAGCTCCTAGAAAAAGCTGCATTTTTCTTATTCTGTTTTTTTTTAATCAATCCACCAAGGCAGCCACCCCGTCGTTACCCTGAAGATCTTTTTTTTTTTAAAGTGAGGTGCTTTCTGATCCGAATTGGGATTCCAGAACACAGGCCGTTCTCTATAGCGTGTTTTTTTTTTTTTTTCTTTTCCTCCCTCATTGAAAACAATGGCTGCATCTTGAAAGGATGATCTCAGCTGCTCTCAGCCCATCAGAGCTCAGGCCTTTCAGCTGCTTTTTAAATGGGTCCAGTATGCACAACAATTATTGGTCGTGAACTCTGTTTGCATTGCTCCGCTTATGAATTGCTCGTTAAAGAGGTTTATTTTGTCTGACCCTTTTCAAAATGCTCCTCGCTCATTATGCACATGTGTGACTCAGAGTGACTGGTCCTGAATTCTGATGTGGAATGCTTTCTCCGAGGAAAAGTTTTGGACCTCATTGGAAATCCCTGCAAATTCAGCATGACCAATTTTTATTTATTTATTTATTTATTTATTTATTTATTTATTTTTTTATTCATGGCTTGAAAGTTTGCCTGAATATTTTGTCTCTGCCTTGTGAATGCGTAGCTGGAGAGAAGAAGAAACCTGTGAAACCGGTACCGGGAACACCCAGCCCAAAACTTAACGGTCAGTTCTCTCAGTCTGTCTCCATGTTTATCAGTCCGTTTGTCTGTACGTCCATCCGTCTCCCTGCTGTCCATCCAGTCGGCACTGAAAGAGTACCATTTTCCTTTACTCATATCCATCCTCATTTCTTCTGTTCCAGTCTGGTTTTAGTGCATGGTTCAATAGATTCTGCTGTGCTCCTTTTCACTCTACTCAGTTTTGCACCACAGGGTTTTTTGTTTTTTTTTTCTCGCGCCTTTTTGTCAATTTGACAATGCTTTAACACACTTCTTCCTAGTTCTTAATACTTTTTTTTTATCTAACTTTCCAAAAGGAAGACAAACTTCTGTAATGATCTTGCTTTCCTTTTTGTTATAGTTTTATTAGCTGCTGTTTCTGTAGCTTGTTTAATTCTAAATACACATGGAAAATCAACAAGCATCCTTAAGCAAAGATCAAGTGATTGTGTTGCTTCATTCACGTTTTGATATAGGGTGAGAACTTTAAATTTGAAAAAAGAGCCCCCTTTAATACGGAGAGGGCAAAAGCAACTTTCCATATGTTGTGTAGTTAATTGAGATTTGGCTCCTGTGAGACTAGTTTTTTTTTTTTTTTTTTTTTTACTTACCGGGAGGCAAGATGTGATTCTACATAGACACAGTTCTATAAAGACTTGCAACTCTGCCCAGTAAACTGAGGAGAAGCTCCAGGGAGGCTGAGGCCAGAGAAAATAAATGACCTCTTCTGCAAAGGCCCATCCAGAATGCACCACCAGCTGCAGGGGAAACAACAGCACAAGGACAGACCTATCAATACAGGAGACAAAGCAATACTGGAGAGACATGTAGAAGGAGGCACGTTCCCCATACTAGGGACCCGCAAGTTCACGCTTCACCAAAACTGGTTCAAAGTTCACTTTTCTTACATTAAAACAGCTTTAAAGTTTCATAGCTTTATTGTGCGTTAAAACACCACGCTGCTCTACATGTGTAAATCGTCCCCCCCCCCCTCCTCCTCATCAACAGACGGAGGAATATGAAACATTCTCAAGCCCAGGAGGGCGATTACTTTTTATTACAATAAAATCTACTTCCAAAACGTACAAATTCGTTGCACTGTGTTCACGATAATGTGCATAGAAATACACATTGAGAATTTAGATGTAAGACAGCTAAGGTAGTTTTATATAAAAAAGAAACAAAAAGGTTTGAGTCAAATGCTCTCAAAAATATACTAGAAGTAAAACAGTTTGACAAGAAAGCAGGACTGTGGAGCCAACTCCTCATCTTTTTTTTTTCTTTTCTTTTCTTGTAGTTCCAGACGATGTTTTTGCTCCTAACTACATATGGAAGGGTTCCTACAATTACCGGGGCAGGAAGCAGCCGATGACGCTGAGCATCACCAGCTTTAACTCCACGACCGGGAGAGTCAACGTGACGCTCAGCAACGGCAACCTGGAGCTGCTCCTGTCAGGCATGTTGCGTCGTCGCTCAACTCTAAGCACTCCATGAATACCTTCGTAAGGGGATCTATGCACTGTGATGAGGATATGTGATGGTAATACATCAAGTTTATGCTACAGCGCTACATAGCTGCTGCATTGATTCATGGGTAATACAGTAAACACACGCTCGGACGCTAAATGCGGTATCGGGCTCCTTCTGGCAACACTTTTACGGATGCACGCCGCTTTTTAACGGCGGATTATTGTTGTTGTCTCGCGTACACAAACACGCACACTCACACGCGTGCTTTCTCCGAGTCCCTTAATGGTGCCGGTCGGATTTGAGACCCTGACGCGGCACGCGTCTTGTCGAAGCTCGAATTGGTTCCAGAAGTAGCAGGGAGCAACAAGAACTATATCTGAAATCCGTGCTGCAATCACGCTTTTATTGTCTGTCGCGTGGCTCAAAGGCACAGCTTTAGATCAATACCGGCTAAAGCTGCACTTTTCGTCGCCGCGCCCGAGTTGCAGCTGCTTAAAATCCGCATGTTTTCCCCTCCGAGTCGTGCTATTAAGGCAGCTGTTCAGCATTTTAAACATAAATAGCATGTCTGCGTGCTGAGCGTAAAGCTGGGATCTAAATATGCTGACACATTCACAGTACTGCTTAGCATAAAGACTAGAGTTATGGGAAAACAGGCGTCTCTGCTTAAGATGAAAAACATCCCGACCAACACCTCTAAACCTGTCTTATTGATGGCATATATCACAATGATGATGTGTGATATTACTGCACGTGCACATTTCTGTCTAAATATGCTGTCAGCATTCAGCCAGGTGCCTCTATGTCTTTTTAATCAATGTTAATTTATTATACAGCTGTATCCGAGGTGTTGTTCTCTTTTTATGTCAGTATAAAACATCTCTCTGCAGATAAACAGGGAAGGTGCACGGATTTCATTAATGCTCCAGGGAAAAAGAAACACGTGCTGATCAATCTAATGATTTACAAGCAAGATGTGAAATCCTCTTGTTATAAATCATGGGGATTTAAAAAAAAGAAAAAAAATGTTTTTTTTTTCTTTTTTTTTATGGCTTTTCAGGAGTTTACAAGGCTTCAGAGGCCAGGCTTTTACTTCTGATGCATCAGGTGAACTATGTTAACCAGGGAAGCCAACTGAAAGATTCAGCCATCTCTCCAGCCAAGATCATGGAGGACTCCTGGACTATGGATGGATATGTAAGTTTACCATTTATACATTTACCAGTCTGTATATGTGTTTATATCTAGGCTGAAAGGTGTGGCATGTAGCGGTTAGTGGGCTTTAATTTGGTGCTTTGAAACATGATTAACTGATATTTGTCAGAGGTTTGAAAGATTATTGTTTTTAACCCCCAAATTTATCAACACCCAACTATTGTGTGTGCATTACAAGCACCTTTTTTTATAAATCACACGTATACCATTTTATTTTATTGTCTGTCTTTAAGAAATAACAGATTTTTTTTTTTTATTGTTTTTGTAAAAAGCACAATTTATCGTGTAATATTTGGAGGATTTTACCTTTAGAACAAACACTGTGTTACTTATCCACTTACAATGAGTTATACACTCATTGCTGTATAAAAGTGATCACTCACCTTTCTGCCCCAGGTATCAGCAGAGCCTGATGGGTCCACCTACGTGTTCCAGGGTTTCATTCAGGGAAAAGACTACGGACAGTTTGGACTACAAAGACTGGGTACTTGTCTCGATAGCGCCTTAAGTATTTCTGAAAGTCAGCATTAAGTGTTGAACTTCGTGGAAAAGCTTCTTGAAACATATTACCGTACCTACTCTGAAAACTGTTGTTTTCAGTCTAATGGTCATTTTAACTGCAACTTATCTGCAAAAAACTGACCCAAGTCATGTAGTTCAGAGGACAATTATTCCTGATGCTGACCAAATGTATGAATTTGAAGAAAGTTACAGAAGAAGAAAAAAAACTTTAAAAATGTTCTCACTAAAGTTTTTGGCATTTAACAAATAGAAAAAATTTAAAGACGAGGAGAATTAACGCTCTCCTTGTCCCTAGGGTTGCATTTCTTCTACGTCATACAGCACTGTGTGTTGAGCAACGCCATAAAATAAAATTTGCATTAAAACTGGTGGCGTCGACAAAATGTGACAACTTTTTATTGTGCACACTAATATCAGATTAGACTTTCTTTCAAACAACCATCAATGTGTTTTTTTTTTTTTTGTTGTTGTTGTTCTTTTTCCCTCTCTGATAATAAAGCCTGTAGTTTCACCAGGTCATTTTATTTTGTCACCCAGACGGTTTGGACAGCAACAGTAAAGTTTTCTCATTTGTTGCAGGTCTAAACATGTCAGAGAGTCAAAACTCGACACCTCCACAGCTTGGTACCAACAGCAGTTCTGTGGCTATTGCTATTCTGGTGCCTTTCTTCGCTCTGATCTTTACTGGCTTTGGATTCTATCTCTACAAGCAGAGGTAGGCCATGCAAGGAGGAAAAAAAAAAAGAAAAGATGACAAGATAAATAATCCTGCACATCTCCCTTTGAAGAACATGTTCCTGTCAGTTTATAACTACTTTTTCTATATCTTTTATTCAAAAAAAAAGTCTTAAAAAAAAACACAAAGGCATCATTAACATTTTAAGAAGATGCCTAATTTGCGAGAACAAACCCTGCATCGGTGGTTTGATTGCTGAGGTGCTAAGAGACAGCTAAGTCGCTGTCTGCTGCAACACAATCCTTGTTTAGAAGGTGGTAAATTGGATTTTTCCCAGGCAAGGTTAAAGCAGAACTGACTGTTAAGGTTGTTAACAGATGCAGATAACGTCTGTTCTGCTGTTAATATCTGTTTGAGAGAAGGAGAACTTGCTGAAGGGATTAGTTTTGGATGGGCTGTTTGGAATGAGCTTACCAAGAAACACAACACGGTTCTTCTCCTGTATGCTTCAGTGGCTTCATTCATCACTGTCTGCCGGCTGCTTTGGACATTTATGAAAAATAACTGCTGCTTCAGAAACAGCAGTTTTTGATGATTCGAAACCAGGATAATGTTTGTGGCGTTTGTCTTGTTGAGGACCGCGTTTGCTCTTTAACGTAAGTCGAAATGGAGAAAACTAATTTGTGTTATGTAATCAAACGGTAAGAACCCAATGCCACGGCAACGTGCTTCATGGTGTAATGTTGCTGGAATCCAGTGTTTGATCGTCTGTGATCCCCAAACTAACAATCTTACTGTAACGTAATGAAGCGAATTCTAGCCTTTTGATAAACAGTTTTGCATTGCATAAGTATTTTCTTTTTCTTCCAACACTCTCATGTAACTAAAAACCTTCAGTCACACCGGCGTTGAGACAGTTAACGTTTTTGCCATGTTGACTGTTCTTTGATTCAGTTGGACAGGTTTTGGTTTGCATCTTAAGCATTTAGGATTATTTTCACCTGAACAGCCAATCATTTTCTGCTCTTCTTTAAATGTTTTTGATGCGTTCTTCCCTAACAAAGTGCCACCTGTTCGAGATGTTTTTTTGTTTTTTGTTTTTTTGTTGTTTTTTTTTCACAGAATAAATGGCCTTACTAATAGAACAGCACGCTGCTATTTTTTAACGTGCCTCATGCAATAACAACTTAATTACACAGAATCGACAGCGTGCATCTCGTGATTGTTGACTATACCGAACAGTAACGTTATTTCCCGTGGTGAAATATCATTTCTACAAAAGAAAATCTTCTATTTACTTTGAACATAATTGTAGATCCGGACAAGTAAAGATGTCAGTGGAGTTTTGTGTGCGATTTCTGCTATTGCAGATGGTGAAAGATATGTGTATATTGCCATCTCCTTCACTTTTATCTTGTAATTATGTTTCTTTTTTTTTTTTTTCTTTATATTTGCAGAACTACTCCAAAAACGCAGTACACCGGCTGCTCGGTGCACGAAAACAACAACGGCCAAGCTGCCTTCGAGAATCCCATGTACAACACCAATGCCAAAGCTGTCGAGGGAAAGGCCGTCAGATTCGATCCTAATTTAAATACTGTCTGCACCATGGTCTGAGGAGCGGCTGTCCTCAGTCAAAATGAACGACTCGCATTTCTAATGGGACCACAGCTGGTGCAAAGACGGTGTAAAAGGGCAAACTTTACCGAGGCCAAGCATCATGGTGTGTACAAGAACCAACCAACCAACCAACCAACCAACCAACCAACCAACCAACCGATCCTTTCTTTTTGGAAAAGATCCCAGCTCCCAACCCTCGCCCACGCAGAGGAACGACTCTCCAGCTGAAACCAAAATCCAGCGTCGGTTTGCTTAAAGCTGTCAGCATCTAGTGAGAGAAAAGACTGCAAGGTGACAAAAAAAAAAAGCTCCATTTCTATCTCTAACTCAGAGCAAGTTGTAGAAACTTTCTGATCCGAATCTAAATCAGACACACACACACACACACACACACACACACACACACACACACACACACACACACACACACACACACACACACAAAAAATGTTTGAGCTCGTATTTAACCCCGATCGCTGTTTCTAAGACCAACGCGTGCGGGGAAGCCATGACCTGCTGGTTGGTACCCCGCGTTTCACCTCAATTTTTACTTGAAGCAAAGATTGAGAGATCAGAGAAGAGGTGTTCCAGCCGTAATCACACATCAGAAACTGAGGAGAACCTATGACATTATCTAGAAGGGATATATGTCATTGAGGACACTGTGAAAATAAACCGACAGTCAAAAAAAAAATATATATATATAAAAATACTGTCACCAGCAGGATATTGCTGAAGCCAACTAACTGGTTGCGAATACCACGGGAATACATCAACCTCACAAGCAAACGGAACCATCTCCCGTCTCAGTGACAAGCAGAGACTGGTGTTACTGGTCCCTGTTATTTTTTTATTTTTTTTCCTTCTTACATGGAGCCTAAGAAGGCTAATGCTTCTAGACAGAAGCAAAAGTTGCTTTGAAAAGAGACTATCCGCTAAGCGAGGGATGATGATAGGGATGGGGCATCCCTGGAGAGGAAGCTGTAATCCTGACTGAGCTGGGATTAGAGCAAAGTGAAACTTACAAGGAGTCTAAAGTGAAGCTAGCACTAACAGAAGAGATGAGAGACTGACTCGTCTAATGGATAAACTGCCTCTAACGTGATGAAGAAGGCTTCTAACTGAACTGGAAGCAGAGAGAGTAAGTCATTAGCAGGAAAAAAAAAAAAAAAAAGATGAGATCTTACAGTCCTAACGCAACCAATCAGAGCTTGTCTGACCTGAAGTAATCTACTGAGGGAGATCGGCTCTCCTCCTTTATACGAGACGAATCAGATCAGGTCAGTCGGGATATGGCCTGGAGGAGAAGATGTTCCTGATCCTGCGATTTTTACCAAGAGGTTTTGATCGGAAGGAGAGGCTAAACGAAAGCGGAGGACTCCGACGGACTAAAAAAAGGGGAGGAAGCAAAATGACTTTGGGAAATATAAAAAGCTCCAGTACTAAAGCACATTTCGCAAGGAGAGACGGACTAACCCCGGGACAGAAAGGTCCTGTTTTTTGGGTTTTTTTTTTTCCAATCTATCTTTATTCCGAGATAAAAGCAGGGGGCTTACAGGCAGACAGACAGAAACAGGTTTGTAGGCAGGAATCATAAACTAAGAAACAGGTCTAGAAAGTCGGGGCTCTGGCCCTACGTCTGTGGACAGTGTTCCACGTGATCCTGCACTCTGAGAGTGCTTACTTTCTTTGTTTGTTACAGCTGCAGAATCTTCTGATCTGTAAATCTATTGCATATATATCCGGGGAGCATTCACCACCTATATTTTTGTGCTATATATTTACCACAAAGGGAGGGTAAGCGGTGGGGGGTGGGAGGGAGACAGATTATATCAAGAGTTTTTAGAAAAAAAAAGAACTATCGGAGTAAAATACGTTAACAGCTATATGCTTTCCACACTCGCCCACCGACGGTACCGTTGGTTCCACTGCAACATGCATCTGGTTTATTTGGAAATCGTGTCTAGCATGGGGGCCCCCCCCCCCCCCTCACCATCTGTCCTTCTCACTGAAGCAGCCCCAGTAAGTGGTGTTATCATTACGGAGATGCAACGCTTACCAGCAACAATCATACCCTAAACTCACTGACACCTTTTAAAACCCTAAATTCGAGAGATTCTTTGCAGACATTTGCACATTAAAACTCTCAGCACTTTGTACGTGATCATCTATATAGTGCTCTAAAAAAAAAAGAAATATATGTATATATATATATATATATATATATATATATATATATATATATATATATATATATATATATATATATATATATATATATATATATATTTGCCCTCATAGATTCTTCTGGTTTTGCATTTTTGTGTTGGACAGCCATGTTTTTTTTTTATTATCAAACTAATTTTAATACCAGACAAATGATTTCTTGATCCACACCAACATCTAGCTGTCCCTCTCTAGGTGGCAACAGGTGTCGTCAAACATTATAAACATTATAAAAACTTAACTTTGGAGAAAATTTGGCTCACTCTTCTTTGCAGAGTTGGTGTAATTCAGCCACACCGGAGAGGCTTTGAATCCCAGTGACCTCTTTAAAGTCGCAGCACAGCATTTCAATGAGATTAAAGTCCAGACTTTGACTAAGCTATTAAAAAAAAAAATCTTTAGTTTGTTGGATTTGTAGCTGTTCAGATTTGATCTTTGCCCTGCTACTAACTGGAGTGCGCTTCAATTCAATTCCAGGGTTTATATACCAGCTAGTGTTGGCGTTGCAGCACAGCTAGGTTCCACAAGCAGTTAGACAAGTAACAGTTAAAAACTGCTGAGATACTGCCACAAATGTCATAGAACCTAAAAATGATTTATTTTCTCATTTTTCCTGGAATGCCTTGAGATCAAGGCATGGCATATTTCTTTTTTTTTTTTTTTTAGATCTATTAGTCTATTTTGTGGTGTCTTCTCTTTAAATTAATGTCTGGATTTTAGATAGCTGTCAATAATTAGACCCGCATTTCGCTAGAGAAATTAAACTCCGAAAACCTTAATCACATTTAATTTAGAATTGAACTAACCCTACTTGAATACTGGCTTTTTGTATTTCTTCTACTAATCTTTAAAAGTTATTAAAGTTAGTTTGATAATCCAGAACATTTTAGAGCTGCAAAACCAGATGAAATCTGAAAGAAGGCAGACACTCAAAAAAGCACCGTCGAGCCAGAGAAATCAAACACCCTTTAACTTATTAGTGAAAACAGACGTTTCCATTTGGGCAGAAAAATTAGTGATGATTGCTGGTTGCCTGCATTATGTGTACTTTGTGTGACGGCGCTAGAAAACGTGTGTTGTACATTGACATTGCTCTGTTCTTGATTGTAGGTAACGCATCAAATACTGAGGAGGCGTAAAAAAAAAAAAAAAAAACCCCGCAGAGAATCGGTGTAATGACGTGAGATGGAACGTCTGCTCAGAGCAGATAAGAAGGGAAACTATCTAATCTTTTATCTAATGCACCCTCCATACCTATTGTGTAAAAAGCCTTAGTATAAATTAACCTTTGTTACAGTAACAGAATCTCACACTGTCCTTTAAGTCAAGAGGGGGAAACTCCTACTTCATTATTCTTTTTCTAACAAAATCAGTGGTGATACAGTTATTGGCTTCCCTACTGCTAATTGTACAACTGCTATTTGCCAAGAGGACAGTCTTCTAAAATATGTAAGAGTCTAAACTACGTTTTCCAGGGATTAAGGTCTCTCCACTTGGATGGCTAAGGAAGGACCAAGGATGTTGCAACTGGTAAACCATTTTTTTTTAATTGATTTTACTGTAGTTTTGGGATTTTTATGCTACCGTAAGACACCGTGATGAGCCATTTTCTGTTTCCCTTCAGATTTGTTTTTAATCTTCTTGATATTTCAGAGTGAATGATCCTGCATACTCTAAACAGGTTTCCCAAGAACTTTGAAAGAAAGACACAGCACAGTACATTAGTACTTATTTCTTTGGTTTATTAGTTAATCCATCGATTTATTTTAACATTATCTGGACATTTTTAGCAGGGTACCAATAGATAATGACATTGTTGGAAGGAGGCAGCCTTACGATAGCCTTCACATCTGGTGCAGTTAAAAATGTGTCTTGCTTCACAAATATGAAAAAAAAAAAAAAGTTTACAAAACGTCTCTTGTTCTGAACTTTCAGAGTTTTGATCTTTCTGGTGTTCTATGAATTTATTTTCTTTTCATCTACAACAGTTCAGTGAATGTGATTTGAACAATTAGGGGGGGGGGGGGAAGAAACACAATCCAAATAGTTAATTTAGAGTTTCAGAAGCAGATGCTACTGGCTGCAGTTTGGAAGCGAGACAACTGCACACAACGGTTTGAACAGTGAGCTAAACATCCAGATTCACATTTGTTTCAGCAAGTTCTAAGCTAAAAATGATCAAACAGATCAAAACGTTGACCCTTTTTTTATGTATTTTACCTGCAATTCATACAGTTTTGCCTAATTTCATATGGCTAGCTGAATTTATTCTGATCTGCCACATTCTGGTGACACATGTAATGCATCTTTATTATGTGTTCTCTTAATGAAGGTCGTTTGTCTTGCTCAAGGTGCCATGCCACAAACTCTTGCTGGGGGAATACTACACATCATCTTTCTCTCAAATGAGAAAATATAAGGTTTCGAAAATACAAAGGTTGCGCCCGATTCCTAATTGACCAAAAAAATAAATAAAATAGAGCCAAATGTCATCTTCAGTCAAAGCTCAGCAGCTTTTAATGTAAATCCTCCCCCATTCCCCCCAAAAAATGATTTTTTCTGTTTTTGAAGAATCTGTAGAGCAAGTCTCTGATGATAAGTAACTGTGCGCTTTTAAGTGAGTCCAGGTGCCAGGGAGCATGAAAACATCCACTCTTGTTTTTAACACCCCCGCTGCTGTGACCACAGGCGCCAGCTGCCACCAGCCGACACAAAACTCCTTTTAAAGTCATTACTGATTTAAAAGCAGCAGTATAGCCGGGGCTTCTTTGTTTACCCACCCAGCAACCATCCCGCACTTCACTTCACCGATATTTCTTTTCATTACATTTCGGATCGGTCCTTGCTGCTGCTCTTTTTGTGTGTTTTTTTTATTTTATTTTATTTTTTTTTTTTTGCTCACCTTTTTGGTAAGAATCTGACTCAGTGCCTACCAAAAAATAAAAGTCATGGGTTCCTCTGTGCTTTTGTTGTTGTTGTTGTTGTTGTTTTTTTCTGCATGCACACAAGTTCCTGCACACCCCTAATGCCAACACCCTCTTCTTCTCTCCCAACAAGGCTATATATATATTTTTTTCTACGCTTCAGTCTATTTTGCCACAAGCTTTTCCTATGGACTTAGCGCAATAACACCCATGTGATTTCAAAGACTTATAGCCGTTCCTGCCCGGGGACATTGGAAATATTCACCATTTGAGAAAAAAAAAGAGAAAATATAGAATAAAAAAGTGTTTTGTACAGAAATATATTTTTATGAGGAAATTATTTGTAAAATGTATGAATCTATTATGTAAATTTTCAATGCAATGTAAAATTAAAAAAAGGCTAATTGCTTTTGTAAAAAAAACGTGTGTTTCTTTCTTTCTTTTTTACTTTTCCTGAAATTCAGTTGGTACAGTAATCCTGGTGAAACTTGGACTACATGTTTATCAGACTAATTCAATATTGAGTATTTTTATAGAACCAATCAATTCAATTTATCCAAATACTATCCTACCTTTCAACTACATTCAGATTTAGTTCAATACTTTCTACTTAAAGCCACATTAAATTATGATTTAATCAATCCATAGTAATTTGCAAGTAAATATATGGTACATGAAAAAAATCTGCTTGCTTCAACAGATTGCATTAAGTTGTTGACTTTTTGTAGCAATCCCTCACTCTTTGCAAGCATGTGGCGACAGTGGAGAGGAGCAGTTCATTTTTAATAGGTAGAAACCAGCAGAACCAGGTGTAGAAGCAGTCATCTGATGTGAGAAGATGGGAAGAAGACGCAGGAAAAAAACAAAACAGAAGCAGTAAGCCAATGGTACTTTCTTTTTTTCCCCTTTTTTCCCCTAAAGAATAAAAGAATGAGTGCACGTTGTTAGTGGCAGCAACATATCTCCATCAGTGCCTTCGTCCAGCAGAGCCAGGAGCCTTGAGCCAGAGGTACTTTCTTTGGGCAAGAAAAACAGGCAGAGCATATTGCTAATGGTGGCTGAAAAACCTAACAACACATCCTGAGAGCACTACCATAATATGTGAAATATGGTGGCTGGAGCATCGTACCAGGATGATGTTTTTGTAAAAGCTGGGACAGGGAACCCGGACAGAGATGATGGTGAGAGGAATGAAAGCACAGAGCAGTGCGGAAGAAAACCTGTTAGAAGCTGCAGGCAATTTGAGCATGGGGCAGAAGTTCAACTGCAACGACTCTAAACATACAGCTACAGTGGAATGGTTTGCATTAAAGGATGTTTATGTGTGTTAGAATGAGCCAGAATTGAGGCGGAGATATTCAAATGGGATTGAAAATCAGTGTGGAGACTTTAAAACTGATATTCTTAGCTGCTTTCCATCCAATTTTGTAATGAAGAATAGGCCAAAATTTCAAACCAGATGATACATGTCAGTGACCTGTTTCTCCTCTATTCTTGAATTTATTTATATTCATTATTTAAATTTGTGGTTGTAAAGTGGTAAAATGGGTTTTTTTAAAAATATATTTTTACAAGGTAATTTGTAAATCCCTTTGTTAGGATGAAATCTGCAGGTTCACAGACTGCATAAATATCCTACATCTGTTTTAGCTGAACCTAATCATTCTTGTAACTCTTTTTTTTTTAGTGTAGAAGCTGATAGTAGAAAAGCTAAACACACCATTTTCTGTGCGACATAAATTATATGTGAAATACCATTCGATTGAAATTAATTTAACAAACTTTATACCGTGCTCTATTTTCATGGAAAGCACTTTCTGGTCTTGCACCGAGCTGGCCACAATAATCTAATAGAGCACATTGACATTTAGCCACATGCTCCTTAGATAACGCACTATGATGACCACAAAAGTTCAAGTAAACCATTTTGAAGGTAATTCTTGTTGCTGTGGGTGACCTAAGGAGTCAGCAGTGTGTGCCAGTCAGTGAGAATGAACTAAAGAAAATATAAACCTCTCTCCGTTCTGTGTTCATAGTGGTACCCTCTGTTTACCTAGAATAAACCCATAGGGTCATATCAGCCGTCAGAGGAGACGTTGGCGCCCGATTCAAACCGAGTTAATACAGAGGCTACGTTTGTGTCGTTTTGGGGAAATTGTAATCGGCGATTTTACCGAAGAGCACATTGACACAACTCGAATGACAACTGTTGGTGGACTGTGCAATGATGTGAGAAGTCTGGTGGAGCCAGCTGCAACAGGAAGTTGTCTTCTTCGTTGGCTTTAGCCTGCAGTAACATCCGGCCGTTGATCGCGTGACTCCTGAGGCGTGAATAAAGTGTTTCTTTTACAGTTTTGCGAAATATCTATTTCGATACGGCCGAAAAACCACCTCCTCCCAGCGCAACAACTTTTTTTTTTTTTTTTTTTTTTTTTATTTTCAAAAAAGAAAGAAATTTCTTTCTAAGTTGGCGGGGTTTTCATTAAGCCAATTTATGTTTTCGTAATTTCAAATTGCACAATTCTGTGCAATTGAGCGCCACTGTCTTGCAACTTTTGAACGCGTCCTTCTCCAACACACCTGCATCAAATGAGCAGTTAATGTCCAGGCTGCTGCAAAACCTGTTGCCATGACAAGGAGGTTATTCAGCTTTTAATTGAGGTGTGTTGAAGAGGGAAGCCTCCTGAAGCTGCAGGACAGTGGCACTCGAGGACTGGGGTTAAAAATCCTTTTGTGGTACTTTATGGTAATACAATCATTTGAACTAATTTTGGTGTAGCAGAGGCACATTTTAAACATGACTGTGGGCAGTGTTTACTTCCTGGGAATGATGGTTCTAACTAAATTTGGAATTTAGTTGTTGATAATGACACCTAGTGTAATTTTATGTTAAGATTAGTCTGTGTCTTTCCTCTTAAGTCTGTATTCAAATCATGAGTATCCCAGTCCGCTTATTAAAGCTGCTGTCTTTGGATGGAACTTTGGATGCTTCCCTTGCCCAACTCTGTTGAATCAAATTCCCCATTCAGCATGTCATTCAGCCCTGCAAAGGCCTGCTGCTAATGAGCCACTAATTTGATGCAGAAGAGCTAAAGGAAGTTGAAGGATTAACTCACAAAGACTGGAGTGGAGCACCCCTGTGTTAGAGCATTGACAGTAACAACTGAACTTCGGGTAATAATCTGTGCCTTTGACTCCATGTTAGACTATTTTAATAGTCCCCCCCCCCCCTGTTGTGTTGTTAAGAAGGTGTTGGTTCATCTCGTTTTAAACTGACCGCGCTGGTTGTCAGTCAACTAGTGAGTCCTTCGATTTCTTGTGTATTTCTTTTTAGCTCTATCATCTTACTCTTGTCAGGCTTTTTTAAATGGATTTCTTTTTTATTCTTCATATAATCAGATCAGTCAAATGGAATTAAAACCGTGATGATTGGTCCTATGGAGTTAACTTAGTAAGGGAGTGCACGTTTTCATGACAAGGAAACCATTATTTGGAAACTATTTACCTCTAATCAGTTTAAATTTGTAAAATGCAAAAAAAAAAAAAATGATTGAATTGAAATGTGTGGCAAAAGGGGAAAAATAATGCAGTACAGATTTATCAGCACAGCTTCATGATCAGTTTTTCTTTTGGTCTTAAAATAACTCAAATGAAAGTTTATAAGCAAAAATCAGTTACAGTAACTCTGTAGAAGATAAATGGGGGACGTTGAATACTGTGTAATGAGTAAAACATACATAAGGGGTTAAAAGTTCCTGGACTGCAAAGCTTTGAAGGCAAAGTCGAAATTTCTGCTTTTCCTAAAGGGCTGCTTTCACTGCTTCATGTTTACATTTACATTTCTACTCATTCTTGATGTGACTAGAATTAAAGTGTTGGATACAATTCAGTGTTGATCTTCTGAACATATTGCAGTGTAAAGCTTGAATATTTTTCGAAAATGCTCAGAAACTTGACCCGAGCCAAAACAGCAATGCAGTTGGACACTAGATGGAGCCCTCTAACTTCATACTTGTTTTCATATATGGAGAAGGAGAGGGATAAGCATGTTTTTTTTTTCTTTATCAGTTTCCTGTTTCTAAAATTATCTGAATTTGTGGCCTGCGTAATTCCATGTTTGTGGAATTGAGATTCTTCGTCATGCCAGAGCCTGGATAAAGTGTTTTTTTTGTTTTGTTTGTTTGTTGTTTTTTTGTTTGTTTTTTTACGTGCTTTTGACAAAATGGATCAGTTAGTTGTATTTTGTATGATCTGTGCTACAAGTAGGATTAAAAAATGTGTTCTATGTTAAAAACTGTAGCAGAAATGGGCCCAATTTTCAGTGCTTGCTCTGTTATGTGGGTTTATTCTGCACTGCATCAGTAGATGGAGCCAGAGGACCTATGAAACACTCTACTGCTTGTATGCACACTGTTAATGCTGCCAAATATGGAACAAAATAAATGTCAATATTGAAGAAAGAACATGATTGCCATATGCACCACATGGTACCAGGCGATGCCATATGGTAATCATGTCAACACCCGGCATGGAATAAAATAAGTCAAGATAGAAGGGAAATATTCTCATATTTTTGCAAGCACTCTGGAATTACAATAGCACTGAACTAATTTTTCAAATTTTTTGAAATGCCTAATCAATGCAGTATTTGAGAACTTGGATCTTTGTTTCATCGCAATCTTCTCCAAAGAAAAGAAGCATTACAGAAATGTTTTTCCAAGAACTCCCTGCACAAACTGAGACGAACTGCAGTGAACCACCAGGAGTACGTTTTATATTGGTACAGTATTTTGGCTACCCACTCAAAATGGTACTTTAATATATAAACTTTTTAGAAGAAAAAGTTTAGTAAATGATGCTACTATTGTTAACAAAACCGATCTGAAACCATTAAACTTTTTCTATATCACTATTCAGGATGCACCAACTGCTGGAGTATGAACCTGAAGCTGATGCCCTGATTGTTGCATTCAGTTCTCTTGTGTGACTAAAATATCTTTATTTGGGTAAAGAAAGGGGGCAGGTCTTCTGAACTTAGAGGCTCAATTTAATGTAAGTCAGCCACTTATCAGTTCTGTAAAGGCACACGGTAATACATTTTAATTTGTAACTTATTTTTTAGAGACGTGTAATACTGGAAAGACGTCACTAGGTGGAGCCAGCTGATCTTACAATAATTTTACACTTTTTCTGAGCAATTGTGGCTTTATGAATAAATCTAAGACGGCTGATTCTAAGAAATATGTTATCAAGGTTAAGGCTTTTGTCGGACTCATTTAAGATCATAAATCTTTATACAAAAGCACAAAAATCAAACATTCAATTAGATAAATAGAGAGAAATTCATCAGTTGGCATGAAAACACTTGACAATATGCGTAGACTTGAGTTGCAGGTGAAAAACTCTCCTTATTGGTTACCTGTTCATTAAAGCATTCTGAATTTGGAGGTACAGGCGATTGTTACTATGAGAGATTGACAAAACAGAGACTGTCATTTCTTTTATACGTTTTTGTAACCCAGTCTAAAAGAAAGAAGCTCAACTTTTTTTTTTCTTTAAATAAAAAGTGCAGCTAATAACTAGTATCTATTGCAGTGAATTAGCTTTTGTTCTTTTTAAATATCACCTTCCTTTCAAACCTTTTGTTAATTCTGTTCTCTGCTGCGCTGACAGCGAGGGGACAAAGAAGGAACATGGAGTCTGTTGTCGTTTTAGTCAAAGTGGGACAGGATGAGGCTGTGGGGTCTGTGGGAAAAGATAATGATGTAGTGAAGCTCTCTGAGAAGGGAAAAGGTATCAGGACTGTAGCTGCAACAAAGACAGGCGGAGATTATAATTTCTTCTAACAGTGTGAAAAACATAGCATTTTGTACTGCGTGAAGCTGCAGTTATGCAGGTTGTAGTCGGACACATCTCGTTTGGAATTCATTTATCACTAAAGAAAATTAGAAATCAATCGTCCGATCAGTGATTGGGACATCAGTTGCTTAATTAGATTGGGTTTTCCGCTTTTTGTTAACGGTATGTATCAAAATTAAAGTACTAAAAGTACATGTGGTCAATAAAAAAAACAACCCGTAGTAGACATGTGCCGATCAGGTTTTTTCCTGCCGATTCCGATCACCCAGGAGGGCCGATCACCGATACCGATCACATAATTATTTTTTTAATCGTAA